CACACACACACACACACACACACACACACACACACACACACACACACACACACACACACACACATCAACAAGTGTTTGAGATGCCTCAGAACCCATTCACATTCAAATCCAGGGACTCGGACTGGAGTTCTGAAGCTCCTATTGGTCCCTGTTTGACCCAGAGGGATGTGTGATACCAGAGGAGTCCAGAGTGTGCTGGTCCATCTAACAAGGTGCTGCCAGCTGCTACTCTTCTGTCTATGATTTGTAAAACTGAACTTTATTTAAAGTAATGAAAGACAAGACTCGTGACTTAAAGCAGAGATAAAAAAAACGGTCCGCTGGTCTCATTTGGGGTCGGGTGTGTTCGAAGTAACTGGTTAATTAAAATCAGCCGGTAGTCCCGGTTAGATCTGCCGGGAAGCCACAAGTCACCAGGTACACCTGTCCAACATGTACAGCCTGATGGACCACGAGCTGAAGCCTGCGGGACAGAACCACCAAAACTCTACGGGGATGTCACCGATCACCGGGGCCAACTCTCACCAGAAAKCAGCCTGCCCGCCGGGAACCGACCCCATGGACAAAGTCAAAAGGCCCATGAACGCGTTCATGGTCTGGTCRAGGGGTCAGAGACGGAAGATGGCTCAGGAGAACCCCAAAATGCACAACTCTGAGATCAGTAAGCGACTGGGGGCTGAGTGGAAACTGCTGACGGACTCGGAGAAGAGACCCTTCATTGATGAGGCCAAGAGGCTCCGGGCGGTCCACATGAAGGAGTACCCGGACTACAAGTACAAACCTCGGCGGAAGACCAAACCCCTGATGAAGAAGGACCCCCAGGTGGGCAAGTATCCGCTGTCAGCGGCCGGGAACCTGGCGGCCGGCAGCCCCAGGATGGAGGCTTACAGCTGGGCCTCCCCTGGACCTTACACCGGCATGCAGACCGAGGGACTCAGCTACAGCCAGCAGCTGCACCGGTACGAGCTGCCCACCCTGCAGTACCCGTCCGCCATGACGGGAGCACAGACCTACATGACCGGAGCCAACTCCTACAGGTGAGCCTCACCTGGGCCGAGCCAGATAGTCTGAACTGTAGAACTTTTAAACTGTCTGATCAAACAAGTTTAAATCTCAGACTTCCTTTCTGTCAGAGAGGGAAATCCAGCACAGGGGTCTGCAACCTTTACAATCAGAAGATACCTTTCTGCTCCTCATCTCACTAARAAAATGTCTCCAGAGCCGCAAAACAACTGATTATCAAGTGGTGGTCCGTGAGCCTTTTTAAGACCTTTTCAGGAACTTTTACGGTTAGTGCAGGTTACATTAACTAAAAAAAAATTCTTTCTTTTTTATTTTATTTAACCTTTTATTTAACCAGGTAGATCTCAATGAGATTAAAAATCTCCTTTTCAAGAGAGACCTGACCATTATTATATTACACTATATTATTATACTTGTTATACTCATCAGGACAAATAAAAAGACCATATTCATGTAAACAAGAAAAATACTGTATATAGTTTATACCAATTTCAATGAAACTAGTAGTACAGCTAAATTATTCTGGCATTTTTTTCCAATTCCTATATTTATGTAGTCTTCAAATTAAAAGTAATTCTGATGGATTTGGGAGAAAGATCATAGGAAGAAATTGAAATATTTAAGTAAACAGGTTAGCATGAGACAACAGGTTTTAGGCTACTTTATGTAATGTTAGTATTGATCACATATTTGCATACAAATTGATCTCTGTTGTGGTTATACCCCACCCCCCCACCCCCCATTTATTTGATTCTGTTATGTTTGGTCACATTTTCAAAGAGCTACTGCGGACGGACCAAAGAGCCACATGTGGCCCRAGAGCCGCAGGTTGCAGACCTCTGATCTAGCAGCACATTAGCCTACTCAGGAGATGAGTGAATGCARGTCGCCAGCCGCCGAGTTATAAACTACCATAATTTATATATTGAGAAATGATGCATTGTTATTGTTTTGGTCAAACTTGCAAATATCGTTGAGATGTCATGCGTGTGTTATGGATAATTCTACCATACTAGACTTGAATTCAACATTTGTTCAATGGATTAAGGTACAGGTATTGTGTTGGCTACAGTTAGTGGCAAATATCTTATAGCCTATATTGGGTTAAACCCAAAAGTTAATCAATTTTAAATGTGCATCCAATTAACATTAACTGAAATCTTCCCCATGGGATATGGGATATGCCTTATTTACTGGCAAAATTACTCTGGAAAAATAACTGCAAATTTTGAAGTAACGGGCTTAGACTGTGGGTTGGGAWTAAGAGCTTGCACCGTACCAAATGTTATGTCAAAAATTTTTAATAACCACACACTCACACTCACCATCACACCCTCTGCTAGTGCCTCTAACAAATACAATAACCACTAAACTATTATCTAAGCTTTCAAAAATCACCTAAACTTTAGTTACAAAGAGTCCAATTCCATTTATTGGAATATTAATATGATTTCTTTATCACCTCCAGACTCTGCTTGGTGTTCAAACATGATGGTGATGGAGAAACATCATATTTACACATATCTGCACTCTTTATCTACAGGTTTTCGTCTTTTTACCTTTTGCCTTTTTAGACCTAAACTTGTAAAAATGTTGTTCCTTCATAAAAAAATGAAAAATCTAAAATTAGACTGGTGACCTGTGTAGGTGTTTACACGCACCACAACCCTGAGCAGGATTAAGTGGGTACTATGAATGAATGATAGTTGGATGGGGCGTGGTTTGATGAATGCATGAAAGTTTGATGGATGGATAAAAGTTGGTGGATTAGACCGTTAATGTTTTGGTTTGTTTGATCCAAGTGTCGATGAATGGATAAAAATTGGATGATTGGTTTGATAGATGAATTAATTAATGAATGTGGGTGGTTGAAAGACATTTGGCTACATGAATGAAGGGTGAGTGGATGTGAGTCTAACACAACAAGGTTTGATTTGTGGACTACCGTACTTGTTATTCATGTGGCCCCACTCTGGGGCCTTGGTTCTGGGCTCTGGGACCTGGTCTCTGGGTCCTGCCTGGAATGTTGATCAGGGCAGCTCTGTGTGTGGCCTCCTTACAATCTCCCCATTCCTCCAAAACTATTGTCCCTGTTGGCCTACAGTACCATATGTGGTTTTTTATTATAACATTTTTACATTTTTTTTTAATTTTCCATTTCTTTTTGGATTTTGAAGTTTTATAACAAATTGGGATGGATAATAATTTTGGTCTTTTGTCCCTGTTTGTGTGCAACAGACTTCTAAAACTGGCCTCATGGACCACAGTTTACAATAACTTTTTTTCCCATCAGAAACTGACCACAAAACTTCCAGGCGTTGTGGCTGAGAGAGATGGAATGCTGAAATAACAAAATGAAAATAATATAACAATCTTGAAATGCACCTTAGTGCTGTTGTTCTGGGGGGGGCATCTATTTTATTACTTCAACTAATTTACACCTAACACAGAACTGAGATGTAAACTATTATTGAAATGACTGTGAAGATGGTGATACAATGTTTTTCTGTTTGTAGCAGTCACTTAGTTCTACAAACATTATTTCGAATAAGGCTGTAATCATCTGAAAACGAGTTGGTTCCAACAAAAACACTTATGAAGAGGATGACAAATCTCACAAAGTAGAGGGGACTTGGAATAATGGCATGTCAGTCTCTGACACTATTTTAAAGGCAAAGCTGAGGTTAAGCTTTGCCTTTAAAATCCTAGTTTTTTTTCCACAAAAAACCTAGGATTTTTTTATGGAAAAAAAATCCTAGTTTTTTTTCACAAATCTGATAAATAAATTTAAATTTACTCATATTTTAATGCAAAGAAATAAAGAATACATTTAATAAGTGTATGAAACAATGACTTCTGGTCAAACACTGCAAAAAATTAGCCATCTAAAAATACCAGTAGTAGATTATACTTAATTGTTTCTAATTAATAACAATCTGCAGTTTGACAGTTGCACTTGGTCAGATTTCTTGAAATAAAAACTTTTCAGGCTAACAAGATTAATAATCCAACATTCTTATATTACTTAGTATATCTGTCTCAAAACAAGATCAAAAATATATTTTAGCTGATATAAAATGTAAGAGTTAATTAGATGAACATTTTTCTGCAGTGAAGTGACTCTACTGCTCAAACATTAACAGATTAAATAAGCTTCACTTTAAACCTGGTTGGGACCAGGTTAGTTTCAGAGCACTTGTTACCATGGACACACAAGTGCTTCTCCTCCCATGCAACTGATTCAAGGCTCAATTAATTCAGGTTTACACCAAAATCCCAGCTTAACCCCTTATCCTAGGTTTGTGCAATAGGCACCTGAACAAGTCTCCAGTTCATCAAGAGACATGGAAATGATACAACCATTCAGTCATCCACACCTAGGGACATTTTAGGGTAACCAGTTAACCTAACATACGTGTTTTTAGTCTGTGGGAGSTTGATGGGGGTACATAGAGAAGAGCCCACAGGGAGAACATGTAAACTCCTTACAAAAAGGCTTCCAGAAAAGAGGTGAACCTGAAACCTTCTTGGAGTCGGGTCACAGAGGCACCTGGTCAAGGAGAGAAGTCCAGATATCCCTCTTCTCCAGGTCCTCCTGGGTCACCTCGAAGTGTTCCCACACCAGAGAAGAAACAGTCTCTCCAGTATGTTCTGGGTCTTCCCTGGTGACGCTTCCTTATTTTATTTTATTTTTTTTCAGATTTAGTCAGTCATGCACTTAGTTCTTTTTGGTGTTTTAAGAGGACGTTTTGAAACACTGTATTCAAATTAAACATGAAATGTAAAAGTCAATGCTCTGGCTCTTTGAGGGCCACCATTAGGTGGCCCTGAAAAATTAGTTTGACACTCCTGCAATAAAACAACCATCTCAAAACATTTCAGCAAATGCTAATTTATAAACACTTACCCTACTGTCAGTTTCACATTACACTGATATTTTGGCAGAAATATAATATTGTAAGAAATTTCCACAGGCTGCACTGAACTATAAATCCACTCTGCTGCTCCTGCTGCAAGTAAATCTAAAAATACTTCTGTCAAAAACTGTAATATTAAACTGATTCTGCTGTAAAAGGTTTTTAAAAAGTGCTACCAGTTTTGTTWATGACTGGACATAACAGTTAAACACGAGTGATAATTATTAGGGCTTGTCATATCAATGCRTTCCTCTGCCTCCATTCATTTGAATGGCAGCTCCTCCTACTATCTACCTCAAAAGGATCTCTGTACTGATATCTTTTTATAGTCTTACATTAATGTGGCCCTAATGGCAACATGCACCTCCACAATTGTTATATTAAAACAGCTCAGCGGTGGGAGGTGTGCTATTTTTTGTGGCGTTTCAAGTTACCATGGCAACATAATTTTAAAAACACATTATTCAGTCCGTGACAAATTTCCAACCTTGGCCGACCTAGTAAAAAAAAAAAACTTCAGTCTTCGTTTCTCTGTTTAGTTTGCTGTCGGTGCATTGAATCCTTGGATATCCTCTGTTGGTGAGGATTCGCTGATGCCTTCCTGGACTTTTGTTGTGGGCCGCATGAGGAGGAGCCTTTGAATTGGGACAGCACTCAGCGCGGGGCAGTGACATGTGGTCGACAAATGCACACTCATGAGGATTCAGCCCATGAATTGAGAGACAGCCACTGAGCTCGGCTTCCAACTGACTTTAGCTGCCACGCTCTGAGTCATGGGACCTACAGCTGTCTGGATTTTAAAATATTTCTTGGGGAACAACTTCTTCCTACGGCCAAAATTTTCATGATACATTGATGAATTATATCAATGTTGGCATTTTTGTCATTTAGCCAATATTTCCAGTTTTGCTGTAGGACAAATGATTTTCTCTCAAAGTGTGTCAGATGTCAGGCAAGTACTACTTCCCCTTCCTATCTTTCTCTACGTCAAATTTCTGTCACGATGCAGTTCAGAAGCAAATTACCATTTTTAACTCTTCACATAAAACACAGTACAAATTGGAAAATTTCCATGAATAGCCTCTTGAGTCACAGAG